CTATCTATCTATCTATCTATATACATATATACCCATACATATGTATATATAAATCATATATATATATATAATATATATATATATATATATATATATTATATATATATATTGTTATAATATATATATATATATATATATATATAATATCATATACTATTAAATATACATGTATTCTATATAAATCATATATATATATTATATACATATATATTATAATATATATATATATTATAATATATATATATATGTGTGTGTGTGTGTGTGGTGTGTGTGGTGTGTGTGTGTGTGTGTGTGTACATAAATCATATATATATATATATATATATATATATATATATATATATATATATATATATATATAGAGAGAGAGAGAGAGAGAGAGAGAGCGAGAGAGAGAGAGAGAGAGAGAGAGAGAGAGAGAGAGAGAGAGAGAGAGAGAGAGAGAGAGAGAGAGAGAGAGAGAGAGAGAGAGAGAGAGAGAGAGAGAGAGAGAGAGAGAGAGAGAGAGAAGAGAGAGGAGAGAGAGAGAGAGAGAGAGAAGAGAGAGAGAGAGAGAGAGAGGAGAGAGAGAGAGAGAGAGAGAGAGAGAGAAGAGAGAGAGAGAAAGGATCTGCCACATCCCATTAATCTCTACGAAATGTCGCTGATCCACTATTCTTTCTTAGATTCTACTACTTTACTAAAGTACTAAAAGATAACATGCAAAACATAATTAATAAATAAAATATATTAATTATCTTATACAGATATCTTAAAAAGATTAACACACTCAATGCATTTAGGATATAAAAAATAAAAAATAAAATAACCCAAACAGTGCTGGATCCACTCCCGGATGTAAACAAACCATGGCAGACGAACACAAGGCCGGAGAAGCCAGCAAGAGTAAGGAAATATCTCAAAAGAAAGAAGATGATAAATTCAGATATACAGGTGAGTGAATATATGAAAATTCCGAGAAACATGATCGATAGCGTGAGGATAGGAACTCTTGTTGCAAGTGACATGATCAACTTTCATCGGAATACCATTGCGCGAAGATGAGGTCATGTCGTATTTTTCTCATTTCTAAACCTCTAAGTACGCCCAGACCGGCCATGAAGTTAAGTGTGCTCAGGGAGATCGCCTCTTGTGCTTTCAGTCTAACACAGAAGGAGCATAATAATGAGGGAGATTACGATGAATTCCCGTTAGCTTGAGCTCTCATTAATTGGTTGATTGTCATTGCTCTTATTATATTAATCACCCGCGTTATTCCTTCATCGTCTAAAAGTGATTTAGTCCTTTTATTTCTGATTACCGCAATTGATGAAGGCATATTTGGTGAAATTATCTCGTTCTTTATGTTCTTACTTGCTGTTCTCCTTCCATGTTGTATGTACATATGTGCACGTAGGCTTTTGAGGCTGAACGAGTCCTCAGCCTGGAAAGTTATGATATGCATCTTGGAGATGTGTTCTTCCTAAAACTATGCATGCTTTTGTAGTAAATAATGATTCACTGATGATTAGCTAATTGTAATGTGAATGTATTTCGAGTAATTATGGTCATGGAACGGCATTGCCAAATTATTAACATCACCGTCCTACTAAGCTGTTATCAATACTTATCAATATGTCGAGTATTTTTACCTTTAAAGAAAGAAAAAATGTTAATACACTTTAGCATACTGCAGATTAGTTATAGAGAAGTAAGTAATAATGACAAAAAAAATAAATGTGCTAGACATCAAAGGTCATATATCACTTGGTTATAAAGGACATGAAACATGTTGGTAAAATACATGATTGTATTTAACTACTGTAATTTTATGAGATTGTGTGATTATGAATTATATAGAATAAGGATGTCTAGTGCTTATTCTATAAATCATAAAGTAATTATATGAACTGTTTGCTGTTTTCCAACTTTGTAGCTTGCTCTGAATATAATTTGTGTGCTAAATTCATAACTCTTGTTGAAAAGTGGTTTAATTGATTGCCTGTAATGCTGGTTTAAAATACATGGACATTTTATCTTGTGACCTGTATGTTGTCTAATATCTTAAAATTACATTAGGTTTTAATTATGAGAATTGCTGGTATGACATACATGAAGATTTTGTCTGGTACCCATGTTTCATTATATTTAATTTCTGCATGGCTATCAATCATAGATTTGTATCAGTCAGTGTTTGTTGTGTACTTTTTTCATTTACACTTAATCTAAATAAATTTTACGCCTTTACAGCTGCAGCCTTTCTCACGGGCGTTGCTGGGGCATCCATGCTTGGAGGCTTCGGCATGACGTTAGGAATGGCCAAGAAGAAAGACCCGCACATGTTTAACAAGGGCATGATGGGAGCACGGGAATTACACGAGGCAGGTGGAGCCCTAGCCATGAGAGCTTTGGGGTGGGGAACATTTTATGCTGTGACTGGCTTTTCCATCTTCTGCTTCTGTGCATGGAAATTGACGGGTTCGAAGGATGTAAGTTGTGTTTTTGTTATTATATATAAGTGTTTATATGCTTTTTATTTGTTGTGATATTATTTATTGATATTTACTTGGTAGTTGTGCATTATTATTAGTTGATATTTACTCATCACTGACACATTAAACTCTTCTCTCTCTAAAAGCTACAAGACTTCCGGATGAAGGCAGGAAGTATACTCCCCAGAATACCTAAAAATAATCCGCCTCAGAGTAGAACAGAATTTGAAGGACTGACGGACCTCCTACAGTACTTAATTAATGAAGACGAAAGAAAGAAACAGGAACAGATGAAAACAAAACTGGCGGGACCAGATTAAGATTATTTGCATTTATGTTTTTGGCCCAAATGGTTGTACTGTATGTTGTAAATAATATACTTTAATTTATCATTATTGTTTTTTGTCTTTCAAAAGTCTGTAAATCTTTTTTTTATATTAAACAAATATATAAAGGAATTTGAAACTTTTTTTTGTTTGATTTAATTTTCTATAAGTAAATATGTGGTCATTTTAATCTTTTAAAAGGCTATGATAATGGGAAGTCATTACAATAATTCCATAAATAGAAAAGTAGAATTTAGATGTCACATTACAAATATGTAAATATTAAGAGAGAACATGAAAAGTAATGAAAGGAATGTGAGAATTCTACATTATTATATTAAACTAATTATTTACTCACTCAGGAGAATAGTTACAAAATAAGTAACTTATACATTGTTGTTAATCATTTCCACTCATTGGAGTATTTCACAAAAAAGAATAATAGATGATTAAATATAATGTTTTTAACAAAAGGAACCTTAAAAAATGTCATAAATTTATTAGAATCTTTTCTAAAGATTACATATTTAAAGATAAAAGATTAAGTAAAACAGATAAAAGTTCATTACATTATAACAATTTTCAATATCAACAGTCATTGGATAAGAGTATCATGACTTGTTTGTATATTGAAAATTTTCTGCCGCATCAACATCTGAGGTCATTAGTGGCTGATTCAAAATAGTGATAGGGTGATGTTTGGGGGTAAAGTACTGAATTGAAAAAAAAAAAAAAAAAAAAAAAAAAAAAAAAAAAAAGATTAGGACAAAATATGTTAGATGTCTAGTTAGAGCGCTATAGGTTAGTTTGGTAATGAAAATTGGTAAAGAAGGAAGAGCAAAGGAAATATGAAGGACTGACACAAAGCCAGCCTTTCTTCCTTTCAGCACAGCTCTCATGCTTTAGGATGCGGATAGAAGGGGATGAAGAGAAAGAAAAAGAAAGGGGGTAAAGAAAAGACCTTGCAAAATTTATTGAGGTGAGGACTAAGGTCCCAGGTAAGGTGTAATCCCCCACATTGGGCTTGTCTCTGTCTCCTAAGCCCCCTAGTGACAACACTGAGCAAGGCAGTGGGGGGGGGGCAGGGGGTAGTATTGTGAAAGTGCAGGAAATTAGTACAATCGTTCAAGGCCTGCATGCATATAGTAGTAGTAATTGTAATTTGCTATAGTTATACTTCTAGCTGTAGTAGTTGTGATGATGATAGTAGTAGTAGTAGTAAGTAAGTAAGTAAGTAGTAGTAGTAAGTAAGTAAGTAAGTAAGTAAGTAAGTAAGTAAGTAAGTAAGTAAGTAAGTAAGTAGTAGTAGTACTAGCATTAATAGTAGTAGTACTAGCACTAATAGTAGTAGTACTACTACTATTGAACATCTTGGGAAATCCCAAAATGATAAAAACAGGATTAAAAAGGAGTGGTAGTGGTATCTTGGGGAGATCTCGAACATGTGACAAACAGGATTAAAAAGGAAACACAAGTCCTCCTTTTCACTTTAATTTTTAACAAGAATGTAAAACATGTTTTAGACTGTGAATAAATAAAAAACAATAAATAATGCATATATACAAAGGCACTGGAATCACAGAGGACACCATTACAGCACTGTAACACTTTAATAGCCAAGCCCAATACTTGTATCTTAATTTTTAATACAAGCTTGTACAAAAAAATAATGCCAGTGATTATGAAACACTATAATTATAATTTATTTATAAATATATATATATATATATATTTATATATAAATATATAATATATATATATATTATATATATATATATATATATATATATATATATATATATATATTATATATTTATATATATATATATATATATATAAATTATATATATATATATTATATATATATATATATATATATATATATATATATATATATATATAATACATATATATAGCTTCTTTTTACTTTTATATATTTTTCTTCTTTAAATGGTGCAAAATCATGACTTTGTTTTCCTTTTGACTTTTAAATTTCATTACAAATGCATGCACATACACTTTGGTATTCCATTCCAAATACATCTCTGAAAAATGGATCCAATAATGCATTGAAGACAAACACATTTAACAGCCATAGCACTAGGAAAGGTTGGCGCACATGGCTGTATGCATGCGCGGACACAAACACACCTTATAAAAATGTACTCTGATGTACACAGGCAGACCAACATACACGCAAACATGCACCTCAGATACGCAGATGTATGTCAAACCGGTTAGAGAGACCTGCACCCTTTGAATCCTCTTTTCTGCCTTTCACTTAGACGTCTCAATGATACAGTCACTTAAAAAGCCTTTCAAAATTAAATGACAAACTGATACACTGCAATAGAATTATATAAGTGCAACACAAGGATATAGCTGCTATCAGACAGGAATCTATTCTGTCCTTCCCAGAATGTCGTTAAAACAATATGATTGATCTAAAACATGAGCATAATGCAAGGATTATAGTAGTGGTGAAAAAAAAAACGTTACTAAATGCATATTCACTGCTTATAGAGTAGTAATGTAATATTACTTGTCACATAAGAACATAAAAACTTGGTGATAGTACAGAGTAAACATGATAATTAACTAGAGTTTGTCATAACAAGTCATACCATTACCTTTCAAGTTTATTACTCTCTTCTGTTTTAGACAACTGGAATGACTTGGGTATAGGCTTATACTAATTTAAGAAAATCTTGTTTTCCTTTTATTTTCCTCTCTCGCGCTGCAAGATTTTAATAGAATCTGGTGTTTCCACAGGATGAAAAATATTAATTAGTCAATTTTTATTTTACTGTCCGGATCAATTGTAAGAGAATGCAGCTAGTACAGTATTCTTTTGGAATGTTTCAACACTGACAGTAGTTCTATGATAATCTGAATAATTATGAGATTACTACAAGTGTAAAAAGAACACACATACACATACATTTACTAACAGACAAATACAGACATGCACACATGCACTCAATCATAGCACTAAATCTAATATTAAAACATTCTGCACGTTTTCACTGGCATTCCCAAACTTGATAGTCACAAAGATGATACATAAAATTTAATAGATTTCTGTAAAGTCCATTTTACATTTTACATGAGGTAAATAAATAAATATATCAAATACAAACTCAACTAAACAATACAAACACACTTTAGTAAACACTTTGTCAATTACATAATCTACAACCAATTTTGTGGTAACATAAAATACTTAATTATTAACAAAGCTGGAGAATGCTGACAAAAAGAAAGTACAGCCATAAACTTGTAATTTCCCAACACGAAGAAAGATAATAATCGTAATCCTCACTAGAGAGGCCACACTAGTTCATTATACTTGCCTCAACTAAACTCATATTTACAATCATGTAGCCGATACTTGATGATGAACATTATACTTATCTTGGCAGAAGGAAAGAATGAGGGAGAATTAATTAGTTCTGAGAGACTCCATACAACTGATATACCAACAAGAATGCTCACTGATTATATTTTTCTATGCAAATAATTTGCATTCACACTTAGTGGTACAAAACCTCCAATAGTTGAAATAAAATACCATATTTGACAAACATACAAATAACCCACTGACACTGGGATGACATGTATATAAGTCGGTCCTGCAATAATCTATTTTGTTTACAAACAGATGGCTCCAGAGAATCCTTGGTCACCTAGGAGTTTAATACTAGGCGCATCTCATCTCACCCTGTTCTTTGAATTTTCATTCTCATTTCTATTAATAGTACTTTTTACATCATTATAATAATATCAAAGCCATTAATAATGATAATAATAATAAAGATAATAATAATAATACTAACATTGATTATAATAATATCAGAAATATATTTCTTTCTCAAAAGTTCAAGGTATGGGGTAAACAGGTGAGGTCGGGAAAGCCTGATGATTGACTCCTTTGTGACTAAGTGCTTGTGAAAAATTATGTGAAGACGACTGACAAAAAACTACACTGCATACACCCAGTGCTAATGGATTAAGTATTTCAAGACAAAAACACTGGCTCTATAAAATGGACATCCACTGGTTTCTTGGTAATAAACAATGAAAATATAAAAAAAATCCGGAAAATAAGAGCAAAATGAAAACTTAACGAGACAAAATGCTTTTAATTCCCCATATCTGCAAGAACCATTGAATGCTGTCTGTTGCAACATGAACAATATAATTTTTTTTTCTATACTAAAAAATACTAAAAGATGAAGGCTACAGGTAGCAATTCCCTTTATCTTAATTTATATATATATATTATATATATATATATATATATATATATATAATATATATATATATATTATATATATATATTATTATATATATATATAATATATATATTATATATAATTATATGTATATAATATATATAATATATATTATATATATATATATATATATATATATTATATATATATATAATATATAATATATATATATATATAATATATATATATTATATATATATATTATATTATATATATATTATATAAAAGTATAAATGCACCTAACCCTGTGGTACTTCTTGACAGCATGAAAATACCTTTTGAAACAATGGCTGTTTCTAAATACTTTTGACAACTTCATGGAGACGAATCATGTCACTTTAATGCTGTAACTTTTGGAGATTACCTAATTACCTTGTGTAAGGTTATATATCTTAAAACTAATTCCCTTTGTTAACCCCATAGCTTTTCTCTGCTTTACCCTATTCATAAAAAGATGAAGAGAAAGAAATAACCTAACATGACAGACGTTATAGCTACGAGTGCACATTGTCATAATATTTTATGTTGCTCTAGTTTGGATATTACACCAACTGGCTTGTAAGTCTTTACAGAAAAATCAACTTCATTCATAACTTAAAGAATTGGTTTCTTAAAAATTTGTATTGAATCTCTGAAGCCGTTTACATGCCTCCTTACACATTTTCATTATAATTTCTAAAAAATTCCATGTAGATGAAATTCAGAATCTTGCCATAAACTCCACAAAACGCAATTAAAAAGTACAATATTAAAAGGCACCCTACAACTGCATAGTCACTGACATAAAAGTCAATGAAAATTCTCATTTTGAGTCTTTTTGGAATTGTAAGAGATAGAAGTTACTAATATTCCAAGAATCTACAAATAAAAAATAAAATAAAATACTGGTAATACGGTTATATCTATTACTGCATTATACAGGGAAAAACATCCATAACCTTTAGCTATGATTACCTACTTTCTCTATATATTTACACTGCATTTACAATGCAGTTATGATCACATCTTCCAATTAAATGAATTAATAAATCAATAAACATTAGAAAATACAGTCGTTTCAAACAAAAATAATAAAACTTTGTCAAACCACTTGTGCTTTCAATATGAAGCCTACGGGATTCTCACATGCATCACTACGTAAGTAATGACAGCTTCGCCCTACTGGTCCTTCAAGTCCATTGCAATAATAGTGCTGTAAACACTTCTATGCTTTTGGCTCATCATGGGTTTAGGGGCACCTGGAAAGGATCAATTTGCATGGTTAGTGAGGCTGTAGTTACAAGTGGAGAGATTCATGAATATATATCAAATATTTGGAAACAAATAAATATGGCTATTCTCTAATTGGTTTAACCGTCTTTTTTTCATTATCATATATATATGCCCATATGCTTCTAACAGTGATATAAAGATATATGCATGATGACATAAACAATAAACAGAGACACAAACAGAAGAAAAGAGACTGAAAAACAGACCTATTGACAGAGAAATCTTACTTTGTCAGGAAGAGGTGCTGCCTTGGTACGTGTCGAGCAGCGCTTCCCACAAAGGAAGTAAAACAGGAGGCCAATCATCATAACGCAGAGAAGACACGTGGTATACAGAATGTGTACCTGAATCAAAGTTACATCTCCCTGGAAGGTTCAAGATATGCATTATCATTAAATCAAATTAACCAACATTTTTTCTGCTGCAACTACCAATACTATGAGCCATTATCATTACACAAACAAAAAGTATCCTGGTTTCTCAAGCAAACACCCAATGAAAAAAGCTGGAAAAAAGGAAAAAGGTAACTTCTTTCTAAAATAGCAGTGAGCATAAAATGTACTCTTGCAATGCAGAATACAGAAACAAAAACAAAAACATGAATAGGAAAAAATACCTCTGTGAGATAAACATTCAGTTCGTGCTGTGGAGCGACACTGAGACTTCCCACGGTGCCATTCATGCACCATTCATCCTCTTCCAGCACTAACCAGGGCTGGGCTAAGAACACCTCATTTGTCTTTGGTTCCTGAAAGAAAAGGGAGACATCTATAAATAATGACTTTCCAGTATTGTAATCTAAATATGGGACTAAGAATTTTTCTTTTTATAGATTTGTTTAGTTGTAAAGCGCACTCATTTAGTTTTTCTTGTGAGTATTTTCTTAGACTTACATTCCTAAATCAAAACAATCCATCAAAACCACAGAATACAATCTCTCCAAGCCCCAATAACAAAAAATTTCAACAAGAACTCAAAGGAACAGTAATGGCTTTGAGCCCTACCTTTACTGGTGTGCAAGTTGGAGGGGTCTGAGGAGAGTTGGGCAGCAAGTGGGCTGGGCCGGAGAGGGTCATGCACGCAGTCCAGTTTTTGGAGATTTGCCTTGCCAAGTCTATGGTTACTTCCAAGAAACTCTTGTCTCCTAGAAGAAAAATTTGTCTGCTAGTTATCATTAAACTATCTATGAATATATGTTGTTTCATAGGATAATGTATGATGACCTTGTGGACAGCTGGAAAAGTTATTTCTCTTGAAAGGGATTCTTAAACTACTTCAACTCTTGATGAAAAGGTTCTGCCAAATTCAACCCCCCTCCTTACTCTTGAATCCAAAGAACTTGGCCCCCACGAGGGAGTGCAAAGTAAGCCCCTCGAGGCTGACCCCTTTCCTCTGCACCTGGACATCTGCCAAAATACTGATGGTCACATTGGCTTCGGTATCATTGCCCCGGGCATCAGTTGCCATCAGCAGAGAATTTGATGTGGTTGTGGTGGTGAGGCTGGCAGATGCCAGCTCGCGTCTGGCTCTTGTCCGTAGCACAGCCTCATCAGGAGACTGTGGTGAAGGAAAGCATACCTCCATGTCTGAGAGTGTTGTGAAGAAACTGTTCCAATCCTGAGAAGAAGAAAAAAGA